TCTATATCTCTGTTTTGGTACCAGTACCGTGCTGTTTTGATTACTGTAGCCTTGTAGTATAGTTTGAAGTCTGGTAGTGTGATGCCTCCCGCTTCATTTTTTTTGCTTAGAATTGACTTGGCTATGCGGGCTCTCTTTTGTTTCCATATGAAGTTTAAGGTGTGTTTTTTCCCCAGTTCTGTGAAGAAGGTCACTGGTAGCCTGATGGGGATCGTGTTGAATCTGTAAATTACTTTGGGCAGTATGGCCATTTTCACAAAATTGATTCTTCCTAACCTTGAACATGGAATGTTCCTCCATCTGTTTATGTCCTCTCTTATTTCGTTGAGCAGTGGCTTGTAGTTCTCCTTGAAGAGGTCCTTTATGTTCTTTGTTAGTTGTATTCCTAGGTATTTTGTTCTCTTTGTAGCAATTGTGAATGGCAGTTCGTTCTTGATTTGGCTCTCTTTAAGTCTGTTATTGGTGTATAGGAATGCTTGTGATTTTTTGCACATTGATTTTGTATCCTGAGACTTTGCTGAAGTTGCTTATCAGTTTCAGGAGATTTTGGGCTGAGATAATGGGGTCTTCTAGATATACAATCATGTCGTCTGCAAATAGAGATAATTTGACTTCCTCCTTTCCTAATTGAATACCCTTTATGTCTTTTTCATGCCTGATTGCTCTGGCTAGAACTTCTAGTACTATATTGAATAGCAGTGGTGAGAGAGGGCATCCTTGTCTGGTGCCAGATTTCAAAGGGAATGCTTCCAGTTTTTGCCCATTCAGTATGATATTAGCTGTTGGTTTGTCTTAAATAGCTTTTATTATTTTGAGATATGTTCCATCAATACCTAGTTTATTGAGGGTTTTTAGCATAAAGCGCTGTTGAATTTTGTCAAAGGCCTTCTCTGTATCAATTGAGATAATCATGTGATTTTTGTCTTTGGTTCTATTTATGTGTGAATTATGTTTATAGACTTGAATATGTTGAACCAGCCTTGCATCCCTGGGATGAATCCTAGTTGATCATGGTGGATAAGCTTTTTGATGTGCTGTTGCAATTGGTTTGCCAATATTTTATTGAAGATTTTTGCATTTATGTTCATCATGGATATTGGCCTGAAGTTTTCTTTTCTTGCTGAATCTCTGCCAGGTTTTGGTATCAGGATGATGTTGGTCTCATAAAATGATTTGGGAAAGAGTCCCTCTTTTTGGATTATTTGGAATAGTTTCAGAAGGAATGGTACCAGCTCCTCTTTGTACGTCTGGTAGAATTCCGCTGTGACTCTGTCTGGATCTGGGCTTTTTTTGGGTGGTAGGCCCTTAATTGCTGCCTCAACTTTAGACCTTGTTATTGGTCTATTCAGGGTTTTGACTTCTTCCTGGCTTAGGCTTGGGAGGATGCAAGTGTCTACGAATTTATCCATTTCTTCTAGGTTTACTAGTTTATGTGCATAGAGTTGTTTGTAATAATCTCTGATGATGGTTTGAATTTCTGTGGAATCTGTGGTGATATCCCCTTTATCATTTTTTATTGTATCTATTTGGTTCTTCTCTCTTTTCTTTATTAATCTATTTTGTTGATCTTTTCAAAAAACCAGCTCCTGTATTTATTGATTTTTTGAAGATTTTCTTGTGCCTCTATCTCCTTCAGTTCTGCTCTGATCTTAGTTATTTCTTGTCTTCTGCTATGTTTTGATTTTTTTTGATCTTGCTCCTCTAGCTCTTTCAATTTTGACGATAGGGTGTCAATTTTAGATCTCTCCTTGCTTCTCATGTGGGCATTTATTGCTATATATTTTTCTCTAGAGACTGCTTTAAACATGTCCCAGGGATTCTGGTGTCGTGTCTTCGTTCTCGTTGGTTTCGAAGAACATCTCTATTTCTGTCTTCACTTCATTGTTTATCCAGTCAACATTCAAGAGCCAGTTGTTCAGTTTCCATGAAGTTGTGTGGTTCTGAGTTAGTTTCTGAATTCTGAGTTCTAACTTGATTGCACTATGGTTTGAAAGACTGTTTGTTATGATTTTCCTTCTTTTGCATTTGCTGAGGAGTGATTTACTTCCAATTATGTGGTCAATTTTAGTGTACGTGTGATGTGGTGCTGAGAAGAACGTATATTCTGTGGATTTGGGGTGGAGAGTTCTGTAAATATCTATTAGGTTTGCTTGATCCAGGTCTGAGTTCAAGTCCTCGATATCCTTGTTAATTTTTTGTCTCATTGATCTGTCTAATATTGACAATGGGGTGTTAAAGTCTCCCACTATTATTGTATGGGAGTCTAAGTCTCTTTGTAAGTCATTAAGAACTTGCCTTATGTATCTGGGTGCCCTGTATTGGGTGCACATATATTTAGGACCATTAGCTCTTCTTGTTGCATTGATCCTTTTACCATTATGTAATGTCCTTCTTTGTCTCTTTTGATCTTTGTTGCTTTAAAGTCTATTTTATCAGAGATGAGAACTGCAACTCCTGCTTTTTTTTTTTTTGCTCTCCGTTTGCTTGGTAAATCTTCCTCTGTCCCTTTGTTTTGAGCCTTTGTGTATCCTTGCATGTGAGACGGGTTTCCTGGATACAGCACACCAATGGGTTTTGGCTTTTTATCCAGTTTGCAGTGTGTGTCTTTTAATTGGGGCATTTAGTCCATTTACATTTAGGGTTAATATTGTTATGTGTGACTTTGATCCTGCCATTTTGATACTAGCTGGCTGTTTTGTCCATTAGTTGATGCAGTTTCTTCATTGTGTTGATGCACTTTACGATTTCGTATGTTTTTGGAGTGGCTCGTACTGGCTGTTCCTTTCTATGTTTAATGCCTCTTTCAGGAGCTCTTGTAAAGCAGGCCTGGTTGTGATGAAATCTCTGAGTACTTGCTTGTTTGCAAAGGATTTTATTTTTCCTTCAATTGTGAAGCTTAATTTGGGGGGATATGAAATTCTGGGTTGAAAGTTCTTTTCTTTAAGGATGTTGAATATTGGCCCCCACTCTCTTCTGGCTTGTAGAGTTTCTGCTGAGAGATCTGCTGTGAGTGTGATGGGCTTCCCTTTGTGGGTAACCCAACCTTTCTCTCTGGCTGCCCTTAGCATTTCCTCCTTCATTTCAACCCTGGTGAATCTGACAATTATGTGCCTTGGGGTTACTCTTCTTGAGGAATATCTTTGTGGGGTTCTCCGTATTTCATGGACTTGAATATTGGCCTGCCTTGCTAGGTTAGGGAAGTTTTCCTGGATGATATCCTGAAGAGTATTTCCTAGCTTGGATTCATTCTATCCATCACATTCAGGTACACCTATTAAACATAGATTAGGTCTTTTCACATAGTCCCATATTTCTTGGAGACTTTGTTCATATTCCTTTTTATCCTTTTTTCTCTAATCTTGTCTTCTCATTTTATTTCATTGAGTTGATCTTCGACCTCTGATATCCTTTCGTCTGCTTGATCAATTCTGCTGTTGAAACTTGTACATGCTTCATGATGTTCTCGTGTTGCATTTTTCAGCTCCATCAATTCACTTATATTCCTTTCTAACTTGTCCATTCTCGTTAGCATTTCGTCAAATCTTTCTTCAATGTTCTTAGTTTCTTTGCATTGGGTTAAAACATGTTCTTTTAGCTCACAGAAGTTTCTTATTACCCACCTTCTGAAGCCTGATTCTGTCATTTCATCACACTCATTCTCCATCCAGCTTTGTCCCCTTGCTGGTGAGGAGTTGTGATCCCTTGTAGGAGGAGAAGCGTTCTGGTTTCGGGTGCTTTTATCCTTTTTGCGCTGGTTTCTTCCCATCTTTGTGGATTTATCCACATGTCATCTTTGAAGTTGTTGACTTTCAGATTGGGTCTCTGAGTGGATGTCCAGTTTGTTGATGATGAAGTTATTTCCTTCTGTTTCTTAGTTTTCCTTCTAACAGTCTGGCCCCTCTGCTGTAGGACTGCTGAGGTTCAATCCAGGCCCTGCTTGTCTGGGGATCACCCGCAGTGTCTGCAGAACAGTAGGGGTTGCTGCAAGTTTTTTCTTCTACTGTCTTTGTCCCAGATGGATACCCACCAAATCAGTCTGAGCTCTCCTTTATGAGGTGACTCTTTGAATATATGGGGGTCAGGGAGCTGCTTGAAGAGACAGTGTCTCCTTTATAGGAGCTCAAGTGCACAGCTGTGATCTCTGTTGTTCATTTAGATCTGTTGGGCAGGTACATTTAAGCCTGCTGCAGCAGAACTCATAAATTTTTTTTTTTTTTTTTTTTTTTTACCCAGGTCCTCTGTCCCGGGTAGTTAGGGCTTTATTTGTGAGTTTCCGTTGTGCTGCTGCCTTTTTATCAGGCCTGCCCTGCCCATCAAGGAGGCAGCCTAGTCACTCTCTACCTGCAGAGGCTTTGCTGAGCTGCTGTGGGCTCTGCCCAGATGCTGTGTGAACTTCCCTGCAGTCCTGTTTATATGGGTGTAGTTAGAACTGCCTAGGCACAGCCAGCCCACCTCTGTAATGACGGACTCTCTCAAGTGGTGGGTTGCCTTGACAACGGCGGACTACCTCTGTAGTGGTGGCGTGCCTCGCTAATGGTGGACGCCCCTCACCCACAGAGTTGGACCATCCCGGGTTCAGCTGTGCTTGCTGTGAAACTCTCAACACAGAGCGTTTCTAATTGCTGTTTTTTTTGTGGAGGTGGGACCAGCTGATCCTGATCACCTGGCCCCCTGACTCAGAGCCTTTTTTTTTTAGTTGAACAGTTAACTCTCTCCCAGCTGTTCCAGTCACCTGTTGAAAAGGTGCTGGGATCTATGTGATTTTCCATGTGGTGACTCACTGTGCCAGCTGACATAGCAGTGCTGAGATTCACGGCATTTTTTTTTTTTTTTTTTTTTTTTTTGCCCGGGAATCTCCTGGCCTGGCTCCCTGTTTCAGTCCCCTTTTTAATCAGATGAATGGGCAACTCTGCCTTCCTGGAGCTCCAGTCACCAGCTAAAATGGTGCCCGGGACCATGTATTTTGTATGGAGAACTACCGCCCTGGGGCACGGGCAAAGCAGCCACACCAGCCAAACCAGCCACACTGGTGACCTGTCGGGCTCCTCCACCTGGGAATCTCCTGGTCTGTGGGCAATAAAAATACGTCTGGAAATGTGGCATCCACTCACCCTCTGCACTTTCACTGGGAGCTGGAATCCTGAGCTGCTCCTAATCGGTCATCTTGGTTCTGACTCGGTTAGCTGTATTTCTATATATTTTATTCTTTTTTTAGCAATTGTGAATAGGACTGCCTTTCTGATTTGGTTCTTGGTTTGGTTGTTGTATAGGAATGCTAGTGATTTTTGCACATTGATTTTGTATCCTGCAACTTTCCTGAAGTTGTTTATCAGCTGGAGGAGCTTTTGAGCTGAGACAGTTTTCTAGGTGTAGAATCATGCTGTTTGCAAACAGTGATAGTTTGATTTCCTGTCTTTCTATTTTGATGACTTTTATTTCTTTATCTTGCCTGATTGCTCTGGCTAGGACTTCAAATACTGGGTTAAATAGGAATGATGAGAGAACACATTCTTGTCTTGTGCTGGTTTTCCTCTAGAATGCAACAAGCTTTTGCCCATTCTGTATAATATTGGCCGTGGGTTTGCCATAGATGGCTCTTATTATTTTGAGGTATAGTCTTTCAATTCCTAGTTTATTGAGAGTTTTTAACATGAAGTGGTGTTGAATTTTATTGAAAGTCTTTTCTGCATCTATTGAGATAATCATGTGGTTTTTGTCTTTACTTTTGTCTATGTGATGAATCACATTTATTGATTTGTGGGGCTAAAGCCTACTTGATCATGGTAAATTAGCTTTTTGATATGCTGCTGCCCTTGATTTGCAAGTATTTTGTTGACAATTTTTGCACTGATGTTCATCAAAGTCATTGGCCTGAAGTCTTCTTTTTTGTTGTGTCTCTGCCAGGTTTTGGTATAAAGATGAACCTGGCTTCATAGAATGAGTTAATGAGGAGTCCTTCTTCCTCAATTTTATGGAATGCTTTCTGTAGAAATTGTACCAACTCTTTTCTGCTTATCAGTAGAATTTGGCTGTGAATCTGTCCATTCCTGGGCTATTTTTGGTAGGCCATTTTTTTCTGATTTAATTTTGGGGCTCATTATTAGTCGACTCAGGGATTCAATATCTTCCTGGCTCAGTCTTGAGAGGGGGTATGTGTACAGAAATGTATCCATTTCTTCTAGGTTTTTTAGTTGGTGTACATAAAATTGTTCATAGTAGTTTCTGATGGTTATTTTTATTTCTGTGGGGTCATGGGTAACATCCTTTTTTTCATTTCTCATTTTGTTTATTTAGATCTTCTTTTCTCTTATTTATTAATCTAGCTTGCAGTCTATATATTTTAGTTTAGTTTAGCTTAGCTTTTTGGGAAAGAGTCTTACTCTGTTGCCCAGGCTGGAGTGCAGTGACACAATCTCAGCTCATTGCCACCTCCACCTTCCAGGTTCAGGCAATTCTCCTGCCTCAGCTTCCCAAGTAGCTGGTATTACAGGCATCCACCACCACAACTGACTGATTTTTGTATCTTCAATAGAGGCAGGGTTTCACCATGTTGGCCTGGCTAGTCTGGAACTCCTGACCTCAGGTGATCTGCCTGCCTTCGCCTCCCAATGTGCTGAGATACAGATGTGAGCCACTGCACCTGACCTATATATTTTATTTTTTCTTTCAAAAACCCAACTCCTGGGTTTATTTATCTTTTGAATGTTTTCTCGTGACTCAATTTTCAGTTCAGCTCTGATCATGGTTATTTCTTGTCTTCTAGCTTTAGAGTTGACATTTTTTCTCTTGGTTCTCTAGCTCCTTTAGTTGTGATGTTACATTGTTAAACTGAGATCTTTCTAACTTTTGATGTAGACATTTAGTGCTATAAATTTCCCTCTTAACAATGACTTATCTGTATTCCAGAGATTCTGGTATGTTTTATCTTTGTTCTCATTAGTTCCAAAGAGCTTGATTTTTGCCTTAATTTCATTATTTACCCAAAAGTCATTCAGGAGCAAGTTATTCAATTTCCATGTAATTGTATGGTTCTGAGTGAATTTCTTAGTGTTGACCTTTAATTTGATTGTTCTGTGGCTCAATTGAGTGGTTGTTATGATTTCAGTTCTTGTGGATTTGCTGAGGAGTGTTTCTTATGTGTGATTATGCCTGTGGCATCAGACATCCACTAGGAGTCTTAAAACATATCCCATGGATAAGGGGAAAATATTATATGCGAGAAAAACAAATGGTGAAAAGAAATATATAGGCTCAATATTAAATCCAATAATAAAATACATAAAACGTTAACAGTAGTTTTTTTGGTAATAGAATTAGGAATTATTTTTTCTTTATAATTGTCTTTGTTTTATACTTGGAGGATAAAATTACTTTTATAATCAGAAAATAAGCTTTTTCTCAAGAAAGGAAAGAAATGACTGTCAATGTAGACTAATTTCCAATTATGTGAACAGAGAAAGTAAGAGTTGAGGAGATTTGAGAAGTTAAGGGTTTGAAGCAAGAATTTAGAGGTATGTCAAAAGATAGATTTACATATTTCCAGGGCAAGAAAGATGAGAAGTTTAGCTTTGATTTGCAGCTGAGGTTTTCTCAACTTAAAGACTACTCCATAGAGCATATGAGCATAACTTAAATGGAGAGAAGGCATGATTGGTTCTAATAAGATAATGAAGTTTATGAAGTCTTATCGATTCATTTTTTTAATGCTGTAAACACATGGGCACCCCCATGAGCTCATAAGAGATCTTAAGCAGCAAAGACAAATATAGAGCCCTACCCACAATATAATTTCAAATGGTGTTAAAGCCAAAAATAAATAAGTAAATTAATTAATTAAAAAATATTGTTTATTTACTAAGTTTATCCTTATAGGGAGATACCATATATTGAATGATTGGGGGAAACATTCTACCTTTGCTTTGCTAAAGGCTTGACAAGTATTTAGTAATCAAAACTACAGTAACTTTCTGTTCTTTTTACAAGCAAAATCTCTCTTACATGATTCATTTATTAGTATTAAGATTTAAGTAACTGATCAAATAACATTTAAACCATGACTTACACAGGTAATGTTGGTTAACAATACTCAATATCTTAGATTAGCTTGAGTCATTGGTCAATGGGGAGTAATCTTGGAGAAGCTAAAGTGTTCTCATCATGGCTTTGTTTGGCCTAAAGCTTATGAGCCATGCAGAGAAGTGGTAGCTCCCCTTACCCCTTCCCTGTTTTTGTTGATATGAAACCAATGAAATTTATGGATTGCTTCTGAAAAGAATCATCAAAGCCATTCCAAAGATAGATAGAAACATAGTGGACAGTGATTGAGGGCTGACATAAAATAACTATAGCTACTCTCTGTTCCATGGGCTGCTTCTGACTCTCCTCTCAGGCTGAAAGTTTTTAAATTTTCATCCTGCCCATATTGCTTTTGATGGATGTTCAGCCAACATTCATGTCGTCTGCTAAGTATAGAACCTTGTTAATCTTTGTAAAATAAAGGAATTAGACGAGTTTATTAAATTGTTCATTTAATACTTCCACAAACTTCAGTGCTAAGTCCAAGGCCCTTCACCAACAAATGAGGTTATAAAGATAAATAGAACAAATTTCTGCCATCATGGAGTTTATGGTCCAGTGGCATACGATTCCAAAAACATTTGGATTTTACCACTTATTATTTTATTACATTATCTTCAAATATTTTAGAGAATGTGGAGAGAAAATATAGGGAGGCAAGTGAGGTACACATTGGAATTTCCCACAGATCACATTCCCTCTTGTCAGAGTTCTTTACCTGATATCTGGGAATTATGAAAGCCACGTCTGGACAAAAGAGAGTTCTGTCTGCCTCCAGGGGTCAGTCTCTCCTTGAGAATCCTTTGGAGAGTTGTCTAAAGCCACTTCCAAGGATTGCAGATGATCAGGTAGGAAGAAGCCCTCAAAAATTTTACTTGCATAGAGAAACCAGTTCTATGTTTTCTTAAAGATGTGAATTGAATCTCAAGCAAGTATTTTCCTTTGATTGAGGTACAGAGGCTTTTAAGGGTGTGTGTGATTTCTACATTTACATGCACTTTCATATGTCTCTGAAACCTAGACAAAGGTTTTTGTCTTAGGCCACTGAGAGAGTAAATATCACAAATGAGATTAGAATGCTATACTTTAAAACATCAGGTCTTGTATTGTGTTATTAGATCATACGTTTATTTCAAATAATGTCACATATGTTCAGAATCATGAAGGCATATGACTGAAGGGAAAAAAATAATTGTCTTTAATGTAACTGAATCAGTTAGTATGGGTTGAGAGAGAACTGCATGCATGTACGGTCAATAGGGTAACATTCTAGCCCTACTAAGAAACTACTCAACGGTCACAGTTATGTGCCTTCTAAGAGCTACCTACTGATTAGAAACCCATTCCTTCATTCCACCTTGTCCTGGAAACTCATTTAGCAATTAGCAAAATGAAAAAGCATTCTCTTTCTGGAATTTTGACTTCAGAAGAGGGAATTTAATTTACAAAACTGCCAGCAACTAATTAAAATGAGTAGTCACTGTTGATTTGAAATGGATTTCCTCTGGGAAAAATCACACTTCAGATTGTCAAAAGAGGGTTTATATCCTGATTCTGAAAAAACATCTCTCTCCATTGTAAATGCTTTCCCTGTTCAGTAGACTGATGTTCTTTCAAATTAATGGAATCTGAAACCTTAGGCCACACACAGAAGATGATTGATACTGGAAGGTTAGTTTCATACAGAAATGCTTTACTTTAGAATATTTAAAGGCTCTTATTTCATATTTCATTCTCTCCCCAATTCTTTTGCTTTTGAAATATTATTTTAATTGTGTAATATATAGCCAATGAAATGCTATTTTACATTATTTAAATTAGTTCTAGAAATAAAATATGTTTTAGCTGACCAAATATTTATGTGTACTGAACATTTTCATGAACAATCTCCACAATTGATCAATTTTGTGTTAGTTTCAACCTGATATCACTGTATGTGTCATAATCGGAGGATGTAGAGCAATAATGCTCCCAGGTTTCAAGCAAATCTCTATATGCCTAATGCTATAGTATTTTAAAGCAACCTAACTTTTTCAAGTTTAATTGG